TCAGTGGAACAGCTGGCCTCCAGAAGTTGTGAATGCCCCAACACCGGAAGTCTTTAAGATGTTGGATAGCCAGTTTGCCTGAAACAGTATAGGATTTCCTGCCTATGCAGGGGGTTGGACTAGAAGACCTCTAAGGTCCCTTCTAACTCTGCTATTGTATTGTATGTATGTGTCAGATGTCATAAGTACATAAGCATCATTTGCATCATAACATGTGCATTATCACCATAGCTGTGGTTGTGCAGTGGTTACAATGCAGTGCTGCAGGCTATTTCTGCTGACTACTGGCTACCAGCAGTTCGAATCTCACCAGCTCCAGGCAAACTCAGCCTTCCATCCTTCCAAGGTTGGTAAAATGAGGACCCAGATTGTGGAGGCAATATGCTGACTCTTAAACCGAGAGGGTTGTAAAGCACTGTGAAACGGTATATGTCTAAGTGTTATTGCTATTATGACATTGCTATAACTTGTTAGACACACTAAGTGCCAAGCTGAATTATGTGCAAGCCCTTCACTTCAAAACCAAATATTTTAAAATTCTAAAATCCAACGGTTAACATTTTTCTTAAAAATGTTATGTAGTATTAAAAATAATTATCTTGATTTTTGAGATACATCAGACTAGGTTGCAAGTTTATAAAATCCTTATAGTATTTTTCAAGCAGTTCGAGATGCAAGTAAAGACAAATTCCATTATAATGGGCTGCTGATAGTAGCAGAAACTAACAGATGAGCTACAGCAGGGGTGTCAAACTCGTTGCGTCATCTCGTGCCGTATCACAATTTTCCCTCCCCGTTGCTAAACTGGGCATGGGCATGGGCAGCCTGTGACACATCTGGCCTGTGGGCCCCGAGTTTGACAGCCCTGAACTACAGTATTGACAATTCCCCCTAAAATACAAGTTTTGATGTACTTGTATTTTAAAAAGAGCAGCTATTATTCTCTCAGTGTAGATGTTACAGATCAACGTGACAGACGTCCAGACAACCTGGCCAATTTGTTACTTAATATCTGCTTAATTATCTAATAACTATGTAATGCATTTCTGGAATACTGTACAGTATAAAATGTCCTGCCATTTTTCTATGTTAAAAGGTTCCATACACTAGTAAACACTCAAGATGTTGAGATCTTGATTGTAATTGTGATTAAAATTAGGAAATGTCCAAAGAATAATGATTCCAGATTAATTTATGCAAATTTCCATGAATTAAATTCAAAACGGGGGGGGGGGGGGGGAATTGTAAGATATCTTTAAAGCCAAAGTAAATTGTAGTTTAAATTCTAGTATAAGAAAGTTTATGGATCAAAGGATTGAATCAGCAGAGTTCTAGTAAAATGCAAGACAGTTGTTTAATCAGGTAAGAAGGAGTTAACTACTGGACACTTAATGTAATTATGCAGTGAAAACGCATAGCTTTTATAACTTGCTGCTAAGAAAATGTTTCTACAACCTCAAACTTTTAAAGGATATTTCTAGC